CACAGGATTTAATGGAGACTTCACAATCAAATATAGTTACTGAGCAACAGTTTTCGAATTTAGCCTGTTTGGTCTTTTTTTTAGATTAAGGCTCTGGACTTGACCAGGGAACTTTTGAACTGTGCAAAAACACAACCATTACAAAAATTAGTACAGATACATTGGTTGGTGTGTAGCAGGTGCCCATCACAATGGGCCCCACATAGACCACAGCTCTGATCCTGACCCATAAGCTACAAACAGACCTGTCACCTGTCCCAGAGCCGAGCACCACGCTAAACCTCTCCTCCTCACCTTCCCAGACTGTTTTTCCTAACAAGCCTGTACCCACCCAACGCACCGCTCCAGCCATGCAAGCTGTTCCACATTTCTTTTCATTCCCAGTGATGTCCTAGATCTGCAATGGTCCACAGACTTCCAGCTCTACTGCCAAAACTCTGAAGCTAGGAATTTTTTTCCAAAGGGGCTATCACGTGGGACAAGTCAGAACATATCCTACAATGAAGAAGATATATTGGTATACAGAAATTAAACAGAGTTTTCTTAATACGCCCACATAGTGCCCAAATGTCTCATTTCAATTATTACTTAATTCTAGAAAGCAATCTGCGTCCTTCCTGTCTCCCTTCAAAACCCTCACCATTAAAGACACCTTTTTAAATTAAAAAAAAATAAAAATGAACAGCTCTACTCCTACACTCAGCATCAAGAATGTTGCACAAAAAAATGTTAGAAGCTCGAAACAGCCTAACTAGAAAGAGACGCTTACCATCATTCTTGTAATGTGTCCTTGCACTAGAGGGGGAATATCACTTGTTATGTCGGGGAAAGCTACCATTCTTTTAGAAATTACAGAATCTGTAAAACCTGAGTACACTGTCAGAGGTATGGCATCCAGTTTCTTCTCTGTTAAGAACAAACAAAGAACATGTTTATTTGGTTGCCACAGCTAAAACATAAAATCTAAAATTTATAGCTTTGGAATATCAGGAGGGTAATTTTTCTCAAGAATATTTCTGTTACTGTTTTTATCAAACAGCACGTTTTTTCAGGTTGGATTTAAAGGATCCTTTCACTATATCCTCCAGCTTCTTGTCCCATGTGGGTATTCTCAAAGATCTCCATGTTGACTCTCAGTCTGCTGTTGTCTTCAGAAATTGTGAAAAAAAGTTCCAAAGCAGATGGATAACACACTCGGGCAGGAGATCAAGCAGACAGCAAATACCGCAACCAAATCAGTGACATAAAACACATTATGTCAAACACTGATAAATGTATGTTATCAGAGATTAAAATAAATTAAAGTTTTTAAAATCCACTGAAGTGACCCACGGTTCTATCAACCAGTGAAGAAAGTGCAATGAAGGCTGCCGGTGAAGCCACTAAAAAGCTCTTTCTTTCGGGGAGCTCACCAAACCTGGAATGTTTGAGGCTGCTGGTTATACAGTGCAATTCTGCAGAAGCACATGAGGTGTAATGACACATACGTGTGAGATCTGTACAAAGATGTATATTAATATTTATTAAGTAAACAGTAAGATGGAAAAAGCAGTAAAGGCTGCAAACATCTACCTTCATTTCTTTCCCCCCTTTAGAAACAATTTTTAGCATAGGAAAAGACCCTGCGGGTAGGATAGCACACAACCCACCTGCGCAGCTCACGCTTTCTTTCCGGAAAACAGGCTGCCAGCTTAATTTGCCGTCTCTGCTTGGCTGGCCCTAGAGCTGTTCTCACTCTCACATTCATATTCTCTCTTGCCTCATTGTTCCTAGCCTGGATGCTTTTCAGTGTTTCATTCAGGTATCCCCTCTTAGCAACAACCTTCCCTGTTCTGTTTTTGGCTTTTTCTGCTCCAACTTTCTGCATACAGTTTTTGGCTTTTTGTGCTCCAACATTCTGCATACAGCTAAGAGAAAAATCATAGAATCGTAGGTTGGAAAAGACCTCTAAGATCATCAAGTCCAGCCATCCGCCCAACACCACCATGTTTGCTAAACCATATCCTGAAGTGCCACATCTACACGTTTTTTGAACACCTCCAGGGATGCTAAGGTTAACGCTGTCAAGCGGTTGTTCTTCCTGTCAGAGACGATTCAACGTCCTCCACTTGTCAGCATCTCCTCCCTTGGGCAGGCCTGGAACCACCGGGCGTTCCTTCGCCCAACACTGGCCACGACTTGGATACCTTTTTTCATGGGTTAGTCGGCACCCTTAAATTACAACCTTGTTCTGCACTGCTGGTTCGCCTCATTAAACACATCCAAACGCTGGTCGCCACGGCAACGCCGCCAGCGCGCCGAGCTGCG